GATGTGGATCTGATGGTGGCTGCCTCAAGTACGAGGTGTGTGATCTCTGTGCCTGTCTCCTTGCCTGTGAGCAGGGACGCCCCCCCTCACCGTGGGCTGTGGGGAATGCTAAAGTGGGGGGGGGGCTCAGCATGGCCTCTTGCACATATTACAGGCCTGATAAAAGTTTAAGTCAAAAACGGAAGAGGGGGTATGAAAAAGAGAAAACAGAGTGTTTTTAAAATACTGTTATGATAAATGTTTCTTAATTCAGAAACAGAAAAGGGGGTGTGAGCAACAGAAAGTAGCATAATCTGTCTTTTAAAAATATTTTCTTTTCTCTATTTCTCTGAAGGGAAGATGGTCCTGGTGTTCCCTTCCCTACTCATATGGTAGAAAATCAGCTGAAACCACAGAGGCACAGATAGAAAAGAACCCAGTAATTTTCCCTGGATGCGGGGCCCTGAAACACAAGTCTTATGTCACTGTGGTAAAGTGAGACACTCAGGAAGTATTCAGTCATTTGGAACCTTCTGCCCTGGACCTCCAGGGCATGACCCCTCCCTTTCCATCCCTCCCTCTGGCCATAAACCCACCTGGGTTACCTGTGGCAGTGGGCCCCACCTGACCTAGCACCCTCAAAAAGCTCAGAAGTAGCTCCTCACAGGATTTTATCAACTCACACGGTCTGCTCTGGGTTCTTCCTTAAGGTCCGCTGTTACTCTTTCCCACAGTTGCTGCCACTTCTCAGGGGTTTGGTTCAATTTGTGCTCCAATCTTTCAATTTCCTGCAAAGCAATTAAAATGAGTTTTCTGACATTAAGTATTTCATAGAAATCAGAATGTGCCCCAGAGCCAAATCTCCTTGTATTGGGCCTGATGAACATCATGGCCAGAAGGTAGCTAAAGTCGGTGGCCTCAGAAGTCTCCCAAGCCAGGGACAGCGGTGGGAGCTCTAGCTGGTATGACGTACTGTGGCAAAGGTGATTTATTAGGATCTGTAATCAGGCCCTTTGTACAGAATAGCTTAAATAAAGAGAAAATATGTATCCCAAACACCTTGACCTTTGGCCACCCCACAGGAAATCTGATGGCCACAGCAAAAGGGCTGGTGTTCAAACCCTAATAGCTGAGGTAGAGGTCTGTCTTTGACAGAGGAACCCCCAACTCTGATGATTTAAAACCAGATGTGGAAAGAATGAATCAAGAAATGCCCAAGGAATGGACTTTGCTTTGGAGAGGGAAGCTGGAGAGCAGAGTAGCTGCCCCTGTGACGGCACCTTCACTGCAGCATGCGTACCCCCCCATCCCCCGGTCAGAAGAATGGACAAAGACTCTTCAGGAACTGCTGGGCCCAGATCAGGGCTCAAACCTTTCTTCGGGGCTGCTGCTCTCATCAGGGTGGCCACTGCTGGAGCAGCTTCACTCCAGAATATTCCCTGGAGAAGACGATTGGCAGTACTCCCATCACGCCATCAACCACCCACACTTCTGACCAGAGGAAGTAAAGCACCCACAAAAGCCATAACCCAGGCCTGACTCAGGCTGCTGGGCAGCTAAAACAGCCGGGAAGCTGCAAATTGCTCCATTTGCTTGATTGCTTCCTCATAATGCTGGAAAACTTACTTTTTTGGACTCTTTTCCAGTAGTTGAGCCTGGTACCCCGCTGCTGCTGGGGAGCAAATTTGGTTTCCTCACTCTCCTGTGGCACCACATATAACACTGGCCCAGAGTGAGGAGAGCCATGTCTAGAAGTCTGCGAGCCAGTTCTAACTTAGCCTGGTTCCTGAGGCCTCGGGTGCCCTACGGGCATGTCTCCATAGGCCTGACTTACACTGAAAAGCCTGGTGAGTGCATCGGGCTGAGCACAGCTGACGTCATCATAGCATGGCCACACTGTTCTCCTCTGGCTCTGGAGCCCAGCTCCTCCGGCCACTTCAGAGTCCTCAGAGGGGAACTGCTTGGGGGTCAGCATCATCCAGTCATATGAAGGCCCTGTGGAAAGGGTCTCCTCTATGTAGTAATCCCATTTCTTGAGGCTGGAGACATTTACATTGGGCTTCAGGGCCTGTTCAAAGAGAATTCTGAAATATAGTTTCATCTTGACTTCAAAGTACCTCAAGTTTATAGGCAGGCCGGTCCCTAACATTTGCAAGGTCCAGGGCAAGAGCATGAATGGATGTTCTAATACCACATGTCTAAATATTTAAATGTTATACATCAAGATAAACTATTAAATAAAATATGTCTCTCCTCCCACCTTGATAAACAGAACTTCCTAATGACCAGGAAGACCAAGCTCAAAACAAGATATCATGGACTCCTTGGAATTCTACACCAGAAAGTGGTGGCACTGGGGAAGCTAGTCCCAGCTCCCAGTCCTCGGCCTAAGTCCCTGCTCCTCTCACTTTGGCTCTGTCCTATATTCTGAAGGTCTTTTATGAATGTGCATATATACCCCAGTCCACAAAGCTAAACTCTGTCTACTCCCTGCCAAACAGTTATTTCTTAGGCATCCTTGGGGCTGAGGGGCACATGCACTGGCTTGGGAGACAGACTGGAAGTAGTCTCGTGAATAACTTGGATTTGGGTTAAGAAATTTTGGGGTACCAGAGCATGGTTTAGATAAAGAAGGGGTATCTAAGCACAAACACTTGGTTTCTTGTGCTCTGCACCTTCTGAGGAGGGGTTGCTGGAGAAAGGCCAGAGTGGGGTCCTAATGTATGGAGCCAAGGATAGGGCCTTCTTGCCCCGGAGGAAGGTGGTACTGCTCATCACACCAGTCCGTCCCATCCCAGAGCTTACTTCATATAGACGTGCATCAGAGAGCATGGTTGCCCCTGAGATGTCATGCTTCTTGGGCTGCGCTCCAAACATCCCTGCTTCCCAAAGGGTTCTTCCATGGCTTTGGTATAAATGGACTTAAAGAAATCTTTCCCAAAGTATTTTAGATTTTCTTTTTCAGCTTAGATAACCAGTTGAGGTTTCAAGTTTTGTTTGGTCTTCCATCCCATGGAAAGTTGCCTCACTTTGACTTTCTTTAAGTAACCCCTTCTAGATTTGGGGGTCCAGCTCCTAATTTTTGTGGTCAAGAATACGATGAACAGTCTCCATTCCATCATAACCCAAACCCATGGTGTATCAAACTTTTAAATAGCCTCTGGTATTTTAAACAGCTTCCTAGTCCAATGTTTATAAAAAGCTTAAACAGCTTATATATACTTAAAAGTAAGGAAAACTTTAACACTAAATATTCAGAAAATGAAACATAAATACTTTCTTACTGTACCTCTATTTCCACTGGTGAATATAAATAATTAAAGAAAATGGGGCTCCTCTTGTGCATTCTATCAATACACTCCCAAATACAAATTCCTTTTTTGGCATGCTTGTCTCCTTTATCCTCAAACAAAGTTCCTGTAAGTCCAAAAAAAAAAAAAAATCAATAAAACAAAAGTCAAATAAATCAACAGTCTGTCTAAAACTATGATGTGGGTGCCTAGGTGACTTAGTTGGTTAAGCGACTGCCTTCGGTTCAGGTCATGATCCTGGAGTCCCGGGATCGAGTCCCACATCGGGCTCCCTGCTCGGCAGGGAGTCTGCTTCTCCCTCTGACTCTCTTCCCTCTCATGCTATCTCTCATTCTCTCTCTCTCAGATAAATAAATAAAATCTTTAAAAGAAATAAATAAAACTATGATGCATGTAGCAGATGAAAAGTAAAATCTATCTTATGGCTCTCAAAACAGCAATGTACGTGCAGAAACCTTAGGAGGTAACTGCAAAGCTAAAGAGAGGAATGAACTTCTCAGCTATAGGGAAACAAACCCAAATGGAAGGAAAACATCTGATAAGGTTTTCCCAAGTATTTAGCAGTTCATCATGACCTTCTTCTAATCCACATTCTACATTTAGATCTAGATTCACAGAGCTCCACGCCAGAAGTCATTCTACACATTTTTCCCAAGAAAAGGGAAGGACTTCGAGTTGATGTGATGAAGCCCAGTTAAAAATGTAATTTTAGGTTTCTTTTTGCAGTCTTCGGCTGTTCATTATGAAGCCGTTTAAAGTTTCTTTGTTCAGTAGTTTATATATACTGCAAATCATGGTCATGGAGACTTTGGAGGATAGAGGGTGTGGTCTGTATCTTTGGGTGACTTGACCAAAGCCAAATGTAGAGGGGGGTACTTCAGGCCTTTTCTGATCCTATCCTTGTACCTATCAAATAGTCAATTTGCCACTCACATGGGCTCACTTTGGTTTTAATAGAGAAGATGTGTAAGGGTGAGGAAGGAGAGTATTTCTTCAAAGGGCCAAGGGTGCCTCTCTTAGCAGTGCTGTCTTGCTTTGAATGAAATGACTCAGTCAAAAGTCAACAAACATTTTACCAGTTGATCAGAAAAGAATGTTTCAAGCCCAAGGCTGCACAAAATCCTACAAAGAGGCCCCCAAGACTAAGTACTGTTTCTTGTCTACCTTTTAACTGCAGAGTCCAGTGTGGTAGTTCTCAACCCTGGCCACAGATCAGGAAAATCAAGGGCTTTAAAAAATCCCAATGCTTAGGTCTTGCCTCAGACCAATTAAATCAGAATCTCTGAGGATGGGTCCCAGATACTAGTTATTTTAAAAGTTCTCTAAGTGGGGGCACCTGGGTGGCTCAGTGGTTGGGCATCTGCCTTTGGCTCGGGTCATGATCCCAGGGTCCTGGGATTGAGCCCTGCATCAGGCTCCTTGCTCTGCAGGAAGCCTGCTTCTCCCTCTCCCACTCCCCCTGCTTGTGTTCCCTTTCTCACTGTGTCTCTCTGTCAAATAAATAAAATCTTAAAAAAAAAAGATTTAAAAGTTCTCCAAGTGACTCTAATGTCCAATGTAATCAGTTCTCCTTAATGTTTTCCCAACACACAGTGCTTAAGAAATTAAAGTTTCTGATTATGACATGTGGAATGACAATTCTATGAGTCAACAAAGGTCTGGAGTATAAATAAGAACCAGTGCTGTCTCCTTTACCAAAAGTATGAAATATCATGCTAGACCATTTAATAGCATACATCGGAAAGCAACATTTTTTGATTTCATATTTTAAACTGAGAACATCAGTAAATATTTTCAGCCACTAGAAGAGTTCTCTTTATGAATATCCAGGTACATATATTGAAAATAGATTATTTTTTTCTTTACTGTCTTCTTAACAAGATCTTGTGTATTATCCTTTCCCCTCTTAAAAAAACAACAAAAGTAAGAATGTAAAATCCCTGTGGGGAATGTTTTCACAGGGGCTGACTTTCAAAATCTACTCTTTTTAAAAAAATAAATAAAATTCAATGAGTGATTATTAAAAGCTAGAAACTGCTAAGAAATTTATAAATATTTCCTCACGTGATCATCATGGCCAAAGGGGTGGGTGCTATTACTGTCCTCATTTTATTTTTTATTTTTTTAAAGATTTTATTTATTTATTTGAGAGAGAGAGAGAGAGAAACAGCATGAGAGGGGAGAAGGTCAGAGGGAGAAGCAGGCTCTCCGCTGAGCCGGGAGCCTGATGTGGGACTCGATCCCAGGACTCCGGGATCATGACCCGAGCCGAAGGCAGTCGCCTAACCGAGCCACCCAGGCGCCCACTGTCCTCATTTTAGAGATGAGGACACTGAGGAAACTCAGAGAGGCACTGAACTTGTCCAAAGTCCTCAGCTGGTACTAGGAATGCTGGAATTGAACCCTGGTCTATTTGCTCTGGAGCCCATGGCCTTTCCTGCTATTCAAACTGCCTCCAAGGGCCGGCACTTTTCCTACCAGAGTGAGTGTACCAGGGATGGTAAAACTAAGTCAAATGTTTCTCTTCAGCGATACCACTTTGGGATGTTAAAATAGTAAGCAAATTTCACCCTTCTACGGTGCTACTGGACAACCACCTGCAGTCCCTAAGAGCACAGCACATAATTGGAGAAGGTGGGCACTCATTCATATCTATTCTACTTTTATTTATTTATTTTTAGAGATTTTATTTATTTGACAGAGAGAGAGAGAGAGACAGCCAGAGAGGGAACACAAGCAGAGGGAGTGGGAGAGGGAGAAGCAGGCTTCCCACAAAGCAGGGAGCCCGATGCGGGGCTTGATCCCAGGACCCTGAGACCATGACCTGAGCCACCCAGGCGCCCCATCTATTCTACTTTTATAGTTCAGGGTAATACCCTAAAATGGCCTTGCCATACTTGGAGGTAGATTAGAGCTTTTAATTAAAAACACACAAAACTAACAAAAAAGATGGAACAAGGGAGTGCAAACACATACCATGCTCTAATCTTTCATAGTCTGAATCCAGGAGAAATGTTTTAAAGCGATTAGACACATAGTGGAAAGCCAAAAACTTTAAGTAACAGAGATTGAATTCAAATTCCGTTGGATATTGGTTGTGAACCTGAAACACACAAGACAGAAGAGTAAGAATCAAACTTAACAGAAACTGGATGCCATGCCACTGAATGGTGACCTGAAATTGACCACGTGGTCAATCAACTGAAACCCTACCACGAGTGGAGTGGGAAGGGAACCAGCCTTTTTGAGCGCCTACTACATGCCAGACACCATGCTAGGGGTTTTTATAAACATAATTTCATTTAATCTCCATAACAACATTGCAAGATAGGCATCATTCTTTCCTGGCTTTCCTGAGATATGACTGACATATAACATGGTCAATTTAAGGTATACAACATGATGATTTGATACACATTATCTATTATGAAATGATTACAATAGGATTAGTTAACACTTCTACCACCTCACATAATTAGCTTCTTTCTTAGTGAGAACATTTAAGATACAGTATCTTAGCAACTTTCAAGCATATAATACAGTATTGTTAACTTCAGTCATCATGCTGCACATTGGGTTCCCAGAACTTAACCCTCTTATAACTGGAAGTTTCTACCCCTTGACCAGTATCTCCACATTTCCTCCAACCCCCAGCCTCTGGCAACCACCATTCTACTGTCTTTATGAGTTTCACTTTTTTAGATTCCACATATAAATGAGATCATACTGAATTTATTCTTCTCTGAATTATTTCACTTAGCATAATGCCCTCAAGGTCCAGCCACGTTGTTGCAAATGGCAAGATTTCCTTTTTTTTTTCCTCATGGCTGAATAATATTCCATTGTTTATATATCTAACATTTTCTTTGTCCATTCATCTGTAGGTGGACACTTAGGTTGTTTCCATATGTTGGCTAGTGTGAATAATGCTGCAGTGAGTACAGGAGTACACTTATCTCTTTGAGATACCAAATTTACTCCCTTGGATAAATATCCAGAAGTGGGATTGCTGGATCATAAGGTCATTCTGTTTTTAATTTTTTGAGGAACTACTTTTCTACAGTGGCTACACCAATCTACATTCCCACCAACTAGGCACAAGGGCTCCCTTTTCTCTATATCTTGACACTTGTTACCTCTTGTCTTCACGATACTAGCCATCCTAATAGGCGTGTGCTGATATCTTGCTGTGGTTTTGATTATGCATTTCCCTGATATTAGTGATGTTGAGCACCTTCTCATAATACTTATAGGCTTCTGTATGTCTTCTTTGGCAAAATCCCTATTCAGATCCTCTGAAGATAAGCATTATTATTCCCACGCCCCCCTCCTTTAGAAATGAAGAAGCTGAGGGTGAGTAAGATTAAGTAATTTCCCAAGGTCATTTGACAGTAGTCAGTGAGACCAAATTTGAACCCAGGGTCTATGCCTCATTCAGTGCTTTATACTGTGCTAGGGACTCAACAGACATATCATAAATCATAACTTGCTTTTCAGGCACTTGTGGTGTAAACAGTGTGTAATAAAACAAGAAAAGTTGTACAGAGAAGTTTGTCAGTGAAAGGAATGCGAAGAGCAGGTGGTGGTTTAGAGGACAGCAAGAGATCTTTTCGTGGGGCGCCTGGGTGGCTCAGTTATTAAGCGTCTGCCTTTGGCTCAGGTCATGATCCCAGGATCCTGGGACTGAGCCCCGCATCGGGCTCCCTGCTCTGCAGGAAGCCTGCTTCTCCCTCTCCCACTCCCCCTGCTTGTGTTCCCTCTCTTGCTGTGTCTCTCTGTCAAATAAATAAATAAAATATTAAAAAAAAAAAAGATCTTTTTGGGACAAAAGAAATATATGGCTGTCTGAAGACAATGCAGGAGAAGCCAGTAGAGAGAGAACAAATTGTGGCAAAAGAGCTGATAACTAAGAGAGCAAGGCCCCGGGGAAAGCAAGAATGAATGAGGCTAAGGGCTCAGATACAGGGAACAGCTTTGGAAATTAGGAGGGATAGAAGAGTAGATTAGAAGAAAGAGATGTTCAAGTGCCAAGGGAAGGGGGAAGGGCTTATGCATTTTAATTTAATTTTTCATCATTAAATTAGGCAGTGAGGTCACTGGATATAGGAATAAGGATGAAGGCATGATGTGGGAGAGAGGGAGAAGGCAGAGCTTGGAATGGTCACTGAGCTGTAGCATACTTTAAACAAGCTGTATGCAGACTCTATGGAGCCATCTTATGTTGGCAGAAGGTAGGCTGATGACCTTGTGACACTCCAGTCCACCCAGAGCAATCTCACCTCTATATTGCTCAATCTCTCATGACCATTAGAGAATTTTGTTTGGTTGAGATAAGTTCCAATCATAATTATATTTGCTTAAAAGCTGTTTCAAATGAACATGTTAGGCAGGCTGTCTAGAAGCCAGCTTTTCTCTCCATGTTTAATTTGGCAATGTAGGCCCACATTTGGTCAGCCAAAGTGAGCAGGCATGTGTGTAATAGATTGATGTTACAGCCTAATAGATCAGTGAGAATTTAAAGTCATGATCTGGGTATCATTGATTTATCAAAGCTTATCATCTGGTTAGAAACCTAGTTTTCTGTGATTAAAGGTTTTTTCCCCCCTATAACATTTTCTTACTGGCTTTTTAAGTGAACTAAAATTTTAGCTCAAAAGTAATATAAAATAAAGAGGATTTTAGGAAAATATATTAAAAGAGAGTATGACTCTCATTCAGTAGGCTTGTATATTGTGGAGCTGCTTCCCTGCTCTCAGCCACTTCCTGTTGCATCGGATCTCCAGAAGACTAGAGAGCTTTCCATGGGACAACTGTGACATGGCCCTGAATAGCCAGGTAGTGTGCCCTATTCCAGCGTTTTAGAACTGCATGCTCCCTAGTCTGAGTTCCTGGTTCGGAATCAATGGCAACACCCAACAGCCAGTGTCACATGATAGAGAGGGGGTGACTCAGATTGTGGGTGGTAGGACAGAAGGAGACAGGCCCAGGATGGAACTTGGTTCCCTTCCATCTGAGAGTCTCAGGGAGGAGGAATCTGCAATGTGCTCAAGGAGAGTGAGCTCCAAGAACAACTTTGCCCCAACAGACATTGGAATAAACCTTGTTAGTCACAGGGAAGAAGAGTTCAGGGCTATTTCTATGGACCCAGTCCATAATAGGTTCTAAAAATTTTTTAAAAAACTTTTATCAAACAAAGCTCCAAATAACAAAACCATTCTCTCAATGACTATTCTCCCTAGAAACCACTGCCTCATACATATCTTTATCTTTCCTTGATTATTCTGATACTTAATATGCTTAAGTATATAATTTTCAAGACCCACTTATGAGGTAAAGTAGAATGGAAATAATGAATATGACCTTAAGTTGAACTTACAGGTATTTCAGGGAGATCATATGCTAGGACTAGAAGCAAAACTCTACAAGTGGAAAAATACTTTCATAGCCCACTGTACTGAGTGACTGGCCTCACCACAAATCCTGGACCCTACAATTATGTTAGCAAGGTTAGACACTTCCCAAGGCCCCTGGCACTCACCCTGCTTGAACTGGAATTGGTGCTTAGATAGCATCACGGTGTCAGTGCTCAGGGGCAAGGGCACCTACTGGTGCTAACTATTTGAGGCCAAAGACAATCTGCCCCCAAACTGGGGTTAATTGTTAGGTCTTTTGGAAATAGAAAAGAAGATATAGAGCAATTTTTTTTTTCATTCTTTAGCCACAGTTTAAGAAACAAGCATGTGAGGATTTCTTCCACGGGGAAAAAAAAACCAGATTGACTTGAATGCTGGGTTGATTAATACATAGATAGCCACATTTGAAATCTGACATTAAGAAACATGGGAAAAATGTCTATTTAGATCCTCTGCCCATTTTTAAATTTTTTTTTCATCATTGAGTTGTAGGAACTCTATCTATTGTGGATATGAACCCCTTATCAGATAGAAGATTTCAAAATATCATCTCCCATTCAGTAGGTTGCCCTCCCATTTTGATGTTTCCTTCATTGTGCAGAAGAAGCTTTTGGGTTTGATGTAGTCCCATTTGTTTATTTTTGCTTTTGCTTCCCTTGCCTTTGGAGTCTTCTAGGAACTTTATAGTTTTAGGTCTTAAATTCAAGTCTTTAATCCATTTTGAGTTAATTTTTGTATATGGTGTAAGATAGTGGTCTAGTTTCATTCTTTTTCATGTAGTTGTCCAGTTTTTCCATTTGCTGAAGACTGTCCTTTCTCCATTTTCTGTTCTTGGCTCCTTTGTTGTAAATTAATTGTCCATATATGTGTGGGTTTATTTCTGGGCTCTCAATTCTGTTTTCTGAAATGTCTTTTTATCATAATGAGAAACAAAGACCCGATTGTATTTGCATGACAAAATATGGTGCTTGATTTCCAGTAAAAAAGAAAAATTATACTTTCTCCACTTAGTCCTATCTCCCAGGGACTCAGTTTGTCTAGTTCACTGGCTTTTTTTCCTCCTTGTCAATGGGACACCTAGGTTCTTCTGCTGTAAAATACCACAGTGGTCTCCAAAAAGCACAATCCACATGCTCCCTTCCCCTTCTGTTAAGTATCGCTTTATCCTACTGTTTTTATTTTTTTAATTTTTAATTTTTATTTTTGTAAAGATTTTATTTGTTTTTGTGCACGCAAAAGAGAGAGAGGGAGAACGAGTGAGCACGCACAGGAGCAGGAATGGTGGGAGTTGTGGGGGAGGGGCAGGGGGAGAGGGAGAGGGAGAAGCAGATTCCCCGCTGAGCAGGGAGCCCAACATTGGGCTCAATCCCTGGACCCTGAGATCATGACCTGAGCCAAAGGCAGATGCTTAACTGACAGCCACCCAGGGGCCCCAAGAATTCTTGAATTATTCTGGATACAAGCCCTTTAAGCAGATACATGATTTGTCTTTTCATTTTATTAACAGGGATTTTTAAAGAACAAAAGTTTTACATTTTGACAAGGTCTAATTTATGAATTTGTTCTTTTAATAAATCATGCTTTTGGTGTTGAACGTAAGATACCCTTGCCTAACCCAAGGTCACAAAAATTTCTTCCTATGTTTTGTTCCAGAAGTTGTATTGTTAGGTCTTACATTTAGGTCTATGATCCCTTTTGAATTAACTTTTATATTGGTGCTAGATTTGGATCAAAGTTTTTTGTTTGTTTGTTTTTGCATCTGGAAATCCAATTGTCTCACACTATTTGTTGAAAAGACTATCCTTTCTCTACCAATTGCTTTTGCACCTTCATTGAAAGTCAGTTTTCCACATATCACATATAGTGTGGGACTATTTCTGGACTTTACTCTGTTCCACTGACCTATCTTTATACCAATTATCACACAATCTTGATTACTGTAGCTTTATAATAAAATCAGATAGTGCCAGTCTTCCAATTTTGTTCTTTTTCAAAGTTGTTTTGGCTATTCTAGATTCTTTGCATTTCCATATGGATTTTAGAATGAGCTTGCCAATTTCTACAAAACGGCCTCCTGGGAGTTTGATTGTGATCTGGGGAGACTGACATTTCAACAATACTGAATCCTCTGACCCATAAAACAAGAGGTATTTCTTGATTTATTTAGGCCTTTAATTTCTCTCAGTAATGTTTTATAGTTTTCAGTTTCTAGGCTTTTAACATATTGTTAGATTTCTTTCATGTTTTTTGATACTATTGTAAAGATAATAATTTTTACATTTTAATTTTCCAATAATTCATTGCTAGTATGTGGAAATACTAGTGATTTTTGTATATTGATCAGGTATTCTGTAGCCTTGCTAAATTCACTTATTCTAGTAGTTTTTTGTAGATTCCATAGACAACCATGTTGCGTGTGAATAAAGATAATTTCACTTATTTTCTAATGTGGATGTCTTTATTATCATTATTTTCTTGCCTAATTGCACGGCTAGGACCTTTATTTAGTACAATGTTGAATAGAAGTGGTGAAGTAGACATCCACATCTTGTTCCTGATCTTAAGGGAAAAGCATTTAGTCTTTCACTATTAAGTATGATGTTAGCTATAGGTTCTTAAAAAATAGATACTATCTAGAGTTTGAGGAAGTTCCCTTCTATTTCTAGCTTCCTGAACATTTTTATAAGGAATGGATGTTATATTTTCTCAAATGGTTTTTTGCATCTATTGGGATGACCATATGGTTTTTCTTTTTTAAAAAGTTTCTTAATATGGTGAATTATTTTGACTGATTTTTTTTTTTAAGATTTTATTTATTTGGGGCGCCTGGGTGGCTCAGTTGGTTAAGCGACTGCCTTCGGCTCAGGTCATGATCCTGGAGTCCCAGGATCGAGTCCCACATCGGGCTCCCTGCTCAGCAGGGAGTCTGCTTCTCCCTCTGACCCTCTTCCCTCTCGTGCTTTCTATCTCATTCTCTCTCTCTCTGAGATAAATAAATAAAATCTTTTAAAAAAAGATTTTATTTATTTGACAGAGAAAGACACAGCGAGACAGGGAACACAAGCAGAGGGAGTGGGAGAGGGAGACGCAGGCCCCCCGTGGAGCAGTGAGCCAGATGCAGGGCTCGATCCCAGGACCCTGCGATCATGACCTGAGCCGAAGGCAGACGCTTAAATGACTGAGCCACCCAGGCGCCCCTATTTTGACTGATTTTGAATGTGTAACCAACTCTGCATTCCTGGGATAAATGCCACTTGACCATGGCATATTATCTTTTAAATATATTGTTGGATTTGATTTGCTAAAATTTTGTTTAGAAAATTTGAATGTGTGATCATCACAGATACTGGTCTATAGTTTTCTTTTGTTGTCTTTGTCAGGCCAGGGTAATGCTGGTCTCATAGACTGAGGTGAGAAGTATTCCCTTTGCTTCAATTTTCTGGAAGAGTTTTTGTAGAATTGCTATTATTTCTTTCTAAATACTTGGCAGAATTAACCAGTGAAGCTACACGGGTCTGAAGTTTTCAGTGTGGAAAGACTTTAACTACAATTTCAATTTCCTTAATAGACACAGGCTTATTCAAATTATGTATTTCTTCCTGAGTGAGTGTGGTAGGTTGTGTCTTTCAAGGAATTTGTCCATTTCATCTAAATTGTTGATTTTATTGGTACAAAATTGTTCATAATATTCCCTTATGGTCCTTTTAATATCTGTAGAATCTGTAGTGATGTCATCTTTCTCATTTCTATTATTGGTATTTTGCATCTTTCTTTGATCAGTCTGGCTAGAAGTTTATCAATTCTATCGATCTTTTTAAAGAACAGCATTTGGTTTCATTATTTTTCTTTATTTTTGGCCACAAGACTTTCGAGGCCTAAAGGCAAATCTGCTTCAAATACATTTAGCCTTATTTTATTATGTAGAATTGGAAATAATAGGCCTCTCAGCCTATAAATTAATTCTATATGAGCATTTCCCCAAATATGTTGATGAGTAGAGTTTTAGGCCTTTCTCAGGCATCATCTGGCTTCTGTTGTCCAAAATAATTTTATACTTATCTTGATGGAAGATAAAAATATACAGACTTAAAAGACAAAGATATATGAGGTATTTTAGTTTTGTTTTCCATTATGGAGTGAAACCTGCCAATTTCACTTATTTATAAGAAGAGAATCTGAAATGGAATTTGGAGAAACATGAATTTATAGGGTCTTATTTTTTGCCCATGTGTCACTAAGTACTTTATAAAATTTAAAGGCCCATAAAATAAGCTATGACTCAAATCCCAGGAAAGATCAATGTTTTGGGAATAAAATATAGTAAGTTAACACTGGATTTTGCTTTCAAGAATTAGAAATGTTAAGCTACAAGAGACCCTATATAGAATGGTATCAACATTGGAAAAATTGTGGGTATGATAGATACACCCTAGAAAAATAGGTAATTAATGTAGGTTTTTGTTATTTCAAGATAAAAATTTAACAAACATTAACTGTGCAGTTTCTACTGTGCCAATCACTTTACATAAGATCTGTAATCCTTCTGATAGCTATCTATCCATGTATCTATCTAGAAACCAAAGCACAGAGAGCTTAAATAATTTGTGAAAGATCAAAAATTAGTAAGTAAGACTGATATGTAAACGCAGATTTATTTTATGGGCTCAGAATATTAAGAACTTTAATGTAAAATTGCTTTGATATAAAACAGCTTGGATTATATCAATTTCTGCCAGTTTTCAAATGAATGGGAAGCGGGCAGACACCAGAAACTTTGAATATACCATTACTCCATTACCTGCGGTTATTTTGCCAATATTAATGGATAAATTTTAGAGTAACCAAACCGTGTGAGGGCAGCTTGGCTCCTCATACATGTGCTCACAAGGAAAGTTCATATCTTCAAGGGGCAAATATTTTTTCTTTTTGTAATAGGACCTAGCATAGTGCTGGCGTATGGTAACTGTGAGGAGAACCGTATCACACAGCCAGACCAAAGCGAGTCAACTTGAAACAACTTGAATAAACTTCAAAAGCAAAGTTATAACTGTTGTTTTTCTCAAAGTAGGAAATAATGAAAAAGTTCTAAGAAACGCTCAAAGATTTACTCTAATGTTGGAATAGAGGAGATGCTTTCCTATACTTCATGTTTTCGTTCATATTATACATATCTATTCCCTTGGTATTATATTTTAAAAATAAATTTTAGGTAAAAATTTCATTTTTGTATTTTGGATGTATTTCTTTTTGAATTTGGTTCAACTATTTTAAGAAAAGGAAGCATCCTGTAATGATATCATTTGAACTAAGCCAATTTTTCTAGAAGCAACAAAAAATTTGCCAGATGTTGCTATTATGAAACAGTGATCTAGCATTTATAATTCATCTGACACCTGGATATACTGGCGTAAACAATGGCTTTTTATATGATGAGGCAGTTCTAATTTAAGATCAGTGCTTCATCTGTTTTCTTTGTAACTCCACTAGTACTAATGGACAAGTCTAGGCAAATTTCCATAGACTGTCTTTTGGCATTCAGCATGTTAGAAATGGTTAAAAAGCAGTGAACACATTCCACCTGGGAGTTTCGCTTGCTGCTGCGTAATTTTGCATTTTTTTTTTTTTTAAATGTTGTTGGGCCTGGCTCTGTTTTGTGCCCCTGAGAGACTGAGGACAGCAGTAATTCGAATTGTCTGGCAAATACTGGAGTCATGTAAAGCACTAGTGTTCATTTGAAAGGTATTCAAAGAAGGCGTTTTCTAATGCCTAAAACTAGTAATGTAGGAGATGATGAAACACTACCTTATAATTAAGTCAGCAAGAGTCAGAAGCACTATTTGTTAACTACAGTCCTCTATAGTCTTCTGTTTTTGAATGAATAAACAATCCCTTTTCAGCACAAAGTAATTTGCTTCACCAAAGCTGATACCTATCATAGCCAAGCATCCTTTAAATACTGCAATTAAGGTCATATGCTTGCTTTGCCATGACTTGCCTCCACTCAGGTTATTATGTGTGAGGGTACTAAGGCAAAAGAGGGTTAAGGCAAATTTTTAAAAATTCATATTTTAATTAAAAAAATTTTAATGTTGGGGCACCTGGGTGACTCAGTTAGGTGTCCAACTGTTGATTTTGGCTCAGGTCATGATCTCAGAGTTGTGAGATCGAGCCCTGCATCAGGTTCCATGCTCAGTGGGGAGTCTGCTTCTCTTTCTCTCTCTCTTTCTCTCTCCCTCTGGTCCTCCCCCTACTCGCACTCTCTCTCTTCCTAAAATAAATAAATCTTTTTAAAAAAATATCTTATTCATTTATATGTGAGAGAGAGAGAACACAAGCAGGGGGAGCGGCAGGCAGAGGGAGAAGCAGACTCTCTGCTGAGCAGGGAGTCCGATGCGCGAACCCAGGACTGGGATCATGACCTGAGCCGAAGGCAGACGCTTAACTGACTGAGCCACCCCGGTGTCCCAATAAATAAATCTTTAAAAAAAATCTATAAAAAATTTTAATGGGGTACAATCAGATTTAAATTAATACTAAAGAAGTCTTTAGGCCCTGAACAATATTATCTTCTACAGTTTGTGAAGCATTCATCTACAAATAACTGAGTTATAACTAAAGCTCAATTTATATAGATCATTTGAATTTTAACTCATCATTTAAAATAAAAAGCTCCTGGAAATCAAACATACATCCTAAGATGTTTTAGATAACATATCATTTTAGCATCTATTGTAATGTATTCTAAAGACAACAGGAATATAATTTGTACTTCACTTTTGTTTATATTAAGTTATTTTGTTTACACCACTTAAGGGGTACTCACACAATACAGGTTACTTTCCAATTCTAGACTACTCACACTCCTTCCTACCCCAACAATAAAATATAAGTATTCCATATCAAGTAATTATTATTATACTTGGGGTAGAATGATGTTCTCATTTTTGAGGACAATATGTCTTCTATGAGAACCTCCCATCTCTTACTGACTTGTGAGTGCATTCTTTTGCTGATTCTCATGTTTAGGGATGCAGAATTCTGCAAGTTGAACATGGATGTTTAACATATTTAATAGTGCATTTAACTTAAGCCAAATTAGGCCATACATACTCAGCCCCCTGCAACTCTTCCTTAATTAAAGGAAAGGAATTTTTATAAGGCAAAAAACCTAAAAGGAGGTGGGGAGAATGGGAAGGGAGACAGTAGCAGGTCAAGAAAATTCAGTACACTTATGAACGAAGGAAAATAGAAGGAAGAATAGCAATAAGTGATAGAAGATGAGAAGCTACATTGGGATGCTTGTAGGATGAAAATGATTTGAGAAGGTAACAGCTTGCCCTTTAAACCCAGAAAGGCTCAGGACTCAGAGGCCCAAGAGCTGAGTAACATATATGGGGGTGAAATGGGAGCCAAAAATCAGGACTAGGTGTAAGTCTATAGAGGAAGTGGTGAGATATCCAGCATCCTTTCCTACCCCATGTAGTCATGTGATTACCTCCTTGAAAGCAAGGGATTAGAAGTTTGTCCTCTGGAAAAAAACAAACTTGATGAGCTCTGGACTTGGGAACGGCAGGAACAACTGGGTTAGTGATGAGGCTTGAAACTGAAAATAGCATAGAAAAAGAAAAAATCTGCACACTTAAGAGGGATCTCCCTGGACCTATTTGCTGCCCTATTTCTAAAGAGCAAGCAGCCAGGCTTTTAAGTATTTTCTGGGCACCAGACTGACAAATTTTTCTCTGGAGAAACTAGATAGCTGCTCTTTTCTTTTTCTGGAACTCCAGTTAACTGAGATGCTGGACTTACTAATTAAAATTCTGTTTTTCCAGTTCATTGATATACAATTTACATATAGTAAAATTTCTCTATTTACAGCATACAGGCTGACTGATTACAGTTTTGCCTTTTGTAGAATTTTCTATAAATGAAATCGTATAGTTTGTAGTTGCTTTTACCTGCCTCCCCAAATCTCTGCCAGTTATACTGAGAAATAATTGACATACATCACTGTGTAAGTTTAAGGTAGACAGCCAAGTGCATTTGGTAAGCAATATAAGGTAATAAGCAAGATAATAAGAAGTGCTTTCATGAAGAACTCATATGCTTTCACCTATCTAGATGTGAGAAAAAGATGCTTGCTCCTCTCCCTGGTCTCAGCTAAGCTTTCTGTTTCAGACACAATGGGCTCCAAATGTCTCCCTCATCTATCTGCCAAAAGGAGTATGAAATAAAAAGGCTCATATTCAAATAGTAAACAAATACACCATTTGCTGCAAAGATTTAAAATGTAAGCTCAACCTTGTAACCAGCTTCTCCAGATGCTGCTCGGACAGAATTCATTGAAATCATTCAATAGATCTTTTCTTTAAGAAGCTCATTAGAGCAATCAAAAATAACCACCAGAGTGTGTGTATGTGGGGAATGGGGTGCGGGTGGGGGTATGGAAAGTCACTGCTAATGGGCATAGAGTTTCTTTTTGGAGTGGTAACATGTTCCAAAATTGATTGTGGCAATTACACAACTCTGTGAATATACTAAAAACTACTGAATTGTATAAATTTTAAATAAGTTAAAAATTATGCTGATCAAATGACTGACAGGATAAAAAACCAAACCAAAACAAAACCCATACACCAACCTGGCCTCTTTAGAAGACCTAATTTCAGTTCTGGCTCCTGAAAACATTTCCACCTCTCCTTCCAATAGATACCTGAGGCCAATCTATTTCAAGGAGGCGCACTGTTCTGACAAATATGTTTGACATGCCAGAACCCATTCATTGTTGTGGTGCAGATGAAACAAAGCTGGAAATTTCAACCTTGCTTTTCTTAGGCCAATTTAGCAAACCCAGTGCCCTGCAATTCTGAAGCCCAATTCTGATTTAGACCCCATTAGGACGTTTATACCTGATGTGCCTGAGATGAGGGTAGGAGGGAGCCTAGAGCATTCGAATCTCCCTAACCCCCTGCTCCCACTGGGTCTGACTGGATTATATACCTGGGTTTCTGTCTAGTCTCTTGATTAGCCCTGATTAGGTCACTGAGTAGAATCAAGCCAGTGTTCTCAATCTCCAGGCTTGCTCGATTGGGCCCTGATTCTTTCTCAGGGGTTAGGCTCTACCTTCTATGTTGCTAGGCACAAACTAAGGTCCTCCCAAACTGGGAAGACCACCTGCTAGATTTCAGGCCCTGCCATCATCTAGAGATTTTTGCTGTTCTACCATAGATCAAACCTTCCTGGACAACAAACCCAAGTGTGCCCCTCTTCTTGGGAGATGATAATTTAGAATGCTGGCCACTTCACATGGGGGCCAGCCCAATTGCCAACTCAGCTCTCCTAGTTTCAGAAACCAACTAGTTCTTTTTCTTCTCTATTCCCAGGAATCCACTGCTAAGATTTCAGCAAGTCTTATGGCTGAGTCCATCAGAGTCATGACATGAAGATACCAGTCACAGCACTGCAATGTGCGATAAATGCTAGTTCTTTTCTTTCCTTCATATCAAGTCAATTTAAGTTTGCTCTACTTACCTGGTGTACACAGTCTAAGAACTGCAGGAAGACTGGAGTAAAACCACTACCCTGACAGTTGAGGGTCAAGCTGCTCCGCTGACTGAATTTATGACCAAAAGAGAGCCATTCTTTTTCGACCAACATCCGGAAGCCTTCAAGTGTCCTATAAAAGGGATCACTGAGTAACTGAACCAGGGATGTCACCTAAGGCACAAGCAGGATGGATACTTCATTACTTTCAGTCCCGAAAAAATTTTGTTACTAAGGCAGGCAAAGTCACCTGAATAAGCAAATTTGTTCACTAACTGCCCCAGGACAGCCAATCAGATTAATTCTGCAAACTTTCCACAGTAAAAACGAAACCTCAAATTCATTTTGGCTACATGTTTTCTTTCAGGGACTTACGATTTTAATCTTTACCCCAACAGTGTGCTGTCTGCAGCCCTCTCCTACAAGTTAATTAATACGGCTAGAGGATCGGTTCAAACCTATTATCTACTTTTTGGCAGGTATAGATGAACATCTTACCTAGTTTATATTTACACTTTCCTTTTTTCACTCTGGAGTTGGTAAAGGAGGGGCTTATTGAAAGCCAAGGAAAAGACTGACAAAACCCAAGAAGGATGGTCCATGTCCTACCCTCTGATCAAGGGCTCCATTTGTATGCTCGCATGGTGTATCTGTCATGTGAGAGCCTGATGCCCTGGGCCAGAGCTCCAGCTTATGTAGTGCCTGGAAGCTCAGGGCACAGAGCTCTCTGATGGATACTAAGTGGTTTTTAACATAGGACTTTCTCTATCTATAAACACATTAGTCATTATACAAAAGATTCATCTGCAGAATTTAAAAACAACGGAATTTAAATATAAATCTAAAACTATATAAAACTATGTTTTAATAGTTTACTTGTGCAGTGATGTCCCAGCCTTCCTCCAAACAGACCAAAACTGAGGAACCATTCTCAAGTACTTCTGATACAACCACAGCCAGCTGCATTATCCTGTGAAGCTAGGAGACAGGAAAGGAGGCCACAATTAGACCAGGCATTTTCTGAGCACCACAAACAGACAGGCTCATTATCAACCGTAGATAACGAAACAAGTTAGGGATAAAGTATTTGGACAAAAGAACCACAATGAGTTTTATATGCTTAAAGTTCTTTGTCAAAATCAAGATGAAATAATGACATGATTTAAAAGTAGACATATTTTATTCTATTTTATTTTTTTTAAAGATTTTATTTATTCATTTGACGGAGAGAGAGAGACAGAGAGACAGAGGGAACACAAGCAGGGAGAGTGGGAGAGGGAGAAGCAGGTCTCCTGCTGAGCAGGGAGACCGATGGGGGCTCGATCCCAGGACCCTGGGATCATGACCTGAGCCGAAGGCAGACGCTTAACGACTGAGCCACCCAGGTGCCCCCAAAAGTAGACATATTTTAAAACAATGTTTTCAAATAACGGACAATGAAATAAACTGGCCGTACATGATCCCCCCCAAGTAGAAGAGCTATGGAATTCCAAAGAGTGGAAGAGACTGAGGGTCTAAGTGGCCCTACCAACACAGTTACTGGACTTAAAATGTGTTTTTCTATGATGTAGTCAATTCTACTTCAGATACTCTTAATTTTCCTGTAATTAGATAGGAGGATGGTTGCACAACTCTGTGAAAATACTAAAAAGCACTGAATTGTACACTTTAAAGGGCTGAATTTTATGACAAATGAATTTTATCTTTTAAAAAAGACACTCTTATTTGTCTGCACTGAGTATTCAATGGGAAGAAAACTTCTATTTGTGCTCAGCTTTTTAAGCCAAGTCAACAGATTCAAGTCCCTAATGAAGCATACAGATTCAAAACCAATTGTGTATTATAGTTTAAAACTATATTTTAAGCATCATTTGATATAATTTGTAGAATGAATCCATCAACTAACATAAAACAAAATAACCCCCGTCCCCATATTTTAAACAGAGCTGGGCTATTTTAAACCCAGGAATAAGGCACATATCCTCTCCAGCAATGGGAAGCTTCTCACTCACTGTTCTATAACACAGCCATTACCAGGCCTGAATTCTCTTGGGCTTAGCATTTGCTCTAAGTTAACTTTGAAAATGCCAATATCCCAAGCGGGGCAATATTTTCCACTGTTTTTAGTCACCAACTTCTGGTACGGACCCACTTTGGAGTAAGAAGCAGAACACACAATGTACCAGAACAGACAGATCTGTTGGGTGGTGGGAAGAGTTTGGGGCTGAGGCTCATAGCTTAGGGACGGAATGGAGTTTTGATCAGCTCCTTCCATGGGTATTCAAAAGTATCCTGAACTGCCATAATAGGTATTAACATATCCTGATCTAGATTTATAGCTAATTGTATATGTGGCTGTTTTTTTTTTTTTTTTTTAATAGTTTAAGTATCTTGAGAATAGTCACTGCCCTGGGTACTCCCATTATTTCCTGGCTCATGGAAAACAACTCTTTTTCCTCCTTAAGAGAGGCAGGAAGCTTGGAGGCAGATAGGAACAGGGGATGAGAGGGGCTGGGAACTGCTACAGGGGGCAAAGGCACAATGGGCATAGCATCAGTGGCCTAAAGACAAGGCTGAAGGGTATACCGCAGAGATGCATTTGGCCAAATGTCTGCATCAGTGTCTAAAACATGCATGTCATAAATACCTTTCTTCTGTGGTTTGGAAGAAATGAGGGTTATGTGTGCTGGCATATCTACTTCTCCTTAATTTCTCAATAAGAGTTTAATTAAAAACATCCCAAGCTTGACTGAGCTGAAGAAAGGATATGCAGTTTTTCCTAAACCTTAAGTAGGCTTTAGGGCATTCAATGACCTTGGTGGCTAGTCTGAGGGTGAATCTAAAATCTAGACACATGGAAAAGGCAGAGACACATGAGAGGTGAGAAAGTAAGAGGGAAAGGCTCTTGGAGTCATCTAGAAATCACGTTCTGTCCTGGATCCTCACTTTGCTGACAACAGAGCAGCAGTCCTATAAATACTTGTTGATTAAATTTATTGCATATCAAAGTTTCCATCTAACAATAAAGACCTCCTCTTTAGCATCCTATGAAGACCAAGTTTTCAATGATAGAGAGATGAAAGCCCAGGGATGAAGAATTCTAGACCCATCAAATAGATCACATGGTTTCCTGGAACTGGAAAACCTTTATGGAGGGCATACAAGAAGGGGAGAGGGTCAGGTAGTGGGGGAACACAATATTTTTACCCCTCAAATATCAATTCTGTTTATCCAATTGGACTTCTCTTTCCTTGAGTTATAAGATGAGCTGCTCCAGACATTACCTGTGGGAACCACTCAGAGTCTCCCAGGGCTTTCAGGAAGGTCACTTCTGAGTCAGTAGGGATGGTGCTTGGGACACAAGCCCTCATCAGTTTTTTAAAACTGGCTTTAACTTGTCGGATGTCATGAAATTCAACAGGAACAAACTCACAATTTAAAGCAAATTCTAGCTTGAAGTTCTGTGGGTAAAGATGAAGAGAATTAGGCAGATGAAGTGCTGTAGGTAAAAGAGCACTGTTTTTAACAGGGCAATACTTAATGATGTACAGTTAGTTGAGGTCAAGTAGCTACAGAGGTTGCAGAGGTCAAGAAAGTCAAGAAAGTCAATCTTATGCAGCTAATGTGTCAATATTACTGGAAAGAGCCATTTGTAAGGTCTTGTGGTTTGACTTGGCTTGCTGTCATTCTGAGAATTTGGAGAGACTACTGGTAGGCTGGAACCTGATGGAATTTATAACACCATATATAAGCCAATTATAAGGCCATGAGCCTGGAAGTCTAAAGAGGAACCAATGACACATGGACAGCACGATTAATCCAAAACTGTAAACTAAGTCTCCCCAAGATATACACGGTAATGAAAAGGTAATATACTGTTGAGGTTCCAGAACTCTACAAATTAAAGTTTGTAGACATACACATACTTGTTTCTTATTATGCAAGTGAAACATAGTCATTGAAAAAAAAAGGTAGAGATAAACACTGAAAAGGAAATAAAAATCACTATCTCACTACCCTAAGACTGCCCTAACATTGTAGTTACTCTTTTAAAGGTAATAATACAAAATTTTATATATAGTAAAATCTGAAAGGTTTTGTGATTTCTAGCTTTGGGACATATTTTTTCCACTCAGTATGACACATGTATCAATCTCTATTTATTTGAATACTTTTATCATTTACATTTTTAATCCATATGAAATTTATTCCACACGAGGTTGTATTTGTAATTTAAAAATGCTAAACTGATGGTCCTTTGGTCTATTTTGTTTTGATAATCTAGTTGCCTAGTTCTGAAGATTTAAAAGTTCTCAACCTTTTCGTTTCAAAGAATGAATTAGTTTTCTCACATTTCTCTGTGCTTTCTTCACATTCTGCCAAAATTACTCTATTGGATTATTTGCTTTTCTGAGAGTAAAACTGCTTTCTGGAGATTGGGCGTATAACAACGCGAATGTTAACACTACTGAACTGTACACATTAATATGGTAAATTTGTGTTATTTGTATTTTATCACAATTAAAACTGTTGCTAAGGACTTATGCATAGGGTCTGTTTCATGTTTTATATTGGTTATTTTAGAGTATTTTTAAAAAGGTATATTAAAGTTTTAAACTAAAAAGCAAACAATTCTTTTTTTAAAATAGCATTTTTAATATGTATTAAGAAAAAAAGTTTCAAAAAAAGAAAAGAAGCTTCTTCGTCTTAATAATTCCTCTTTTAAAAGGGAAGCTACCCTAAAGAAATAATCTAAAATGTAGAAACAAAATGCCACTGAATTGTATCTCAATAAAAAAATAAAAAACTATATGCTTGTAAATGTGACTGCAATTTTACATATAGAAGACAGATGTAAAAATCCAACAATATGGGATGCCATGTAGTGATTAAAGTAATTATGAAGACTATTAGACAACATGGAAACATGTTCTTGAGATAAGTTCTTATCTGTTAGTTTTTTTTTAAACTTATAATAGATAAAATATAGTTTACTTTCCAGGAAAACCAGGTTCCTTTCCATTTCTCAACTGTACATGAGCTATGTATGCTTATCTTATGAACCAGGAACTATCAACCACCGTGTTGACACATCCTAGGTCATAAGGAATTTGTTTCTAACTATAAGGTATTAAAGTATGTAAATTGAAAAAGGTAAATAAGGGTAATTCAAAATTATTTAGAACTGGTCATTCTCTACTTACTTACTTTCCTGTATGTCTCCTTTGTGGGGAGTAGAAAGTGTTGG